CTGCGTGGTGCTTAGTTGCTAGCCGGGTTAAACCACGACATTTTTAAAAAGCACTTGCGTGACAATTGCTTCTAGTTCCTTCACTCTTCCAACCTTAACAGCTTATTTCTCTCTATAGTAGCAGATCCTACCAAATCCTTCCATACTACGAGATCACACCAGTTAAAGCTTCCGAGTAAAGCACATGAACCAGACCCCACCCCCCCAGACCCCAGAAAAATCTTTCTCAACTTGTTATAGAACAGAAGTCTTAATACAATGACTGCTTTTTTATCTGTGGTCAGATCTGTAGAGCAGAAAAGAAGGAATCCCTGCCAGCCCCTCTCCTAAGTAGACCAGTTCTGCTAAGTGGGAGTGGTAAAAAGCGGGGGAACTCAGGACATCACTGCAGTGACTGACTTTCATTCACATCATAGGTGTACTCAGAATGTATTCCTCCTAAAGCTCTAGGCAGTAAAATGTTGTGACAATAAAAGTGCCCACAGCAGAGGTCTGTTTGAGAACCAGTTCAGCAACTTCTCATACAGAACAGAGATTTCTCTATCAGCCTGTCCTAAACAGATCATGTGTAAGCTCTATCCAACCCATAGAGGCAGGACAAGAAACTGCCTGTTTTTCTAGACTTGATTCTTGAAAAATAAAAATAAATCTGTTTCTTCATCTGCTCTGTTCTGATACAGCATCAGAAAGCTCCGTAATAAAAGTCTCTCAAGAGTAGCATCTTTTACCAATCAAGTAATGTAGCTTAGTTCATACTCACAAATCCTACTTTTCCTCTTATTTTATACAGAGATTCTCTTCCTCTTCCCCTCCAGAATGACTATAATTATTCTATAAAAATACAGAGCATATGGAATGCTTTCCTCCAAGCAATGGAACAGAGTGCCATAAAAGCAATGAACATCAGCAGTTTATTAGAGGTGGTTTCCCTTCCCCATCATCTTCTCGGAGCCGCTGTGAAATTCTATTGAAGTCATACTGTGCAGGGGTACAAAACAGCTATGAAAGGATTTGCCTGCATTACATAGGGTTTACTGTTAATTAGCTCTTGTACACACACCCAGTACAGAAAAACAGCTTTTTTGTTGAGGAAGTGATGATTTGTTGAGAGCATGTTCTTTGTTGATATAGGGCTAGCATTAGGATTGCAATTTGAGTTAATATCTACACATGATTTTATGTAACCATTTATGTAGCCGTTCTGTGATTCTGTGCAACCACTTGACAACAGTGGTCTTGCCTAATCAGTTTCTGTTAGTTAAAAGGGAAACATGAATTAAATTTTCTTAGGGCATAAATAGAGACATCAGCTTACTCAGACCAGTAACATCAAGGTGCTCCTTCCTTCCTATCATATCCACCACATGCTTCTCATGACATCTTCAGATTTGCAATCTCTCATATACTGAAAACCAGAAACTTCACTCCTTTGACAACCTCTTCTCCCTTAGTCTTAAGTTGAATGAATCATAGGAAGGATGACAACATTTAAAATTCATACTTGATGTAAAAACTTTGTTCACAGCCTAGCTTCAATAGCTGAGTTAACCAAGCTTTTCTGGTGGACTTGGGAGCAGGGGAGCATAGAAGAACCAGTCTTAAGCTGCTACCTAGAGTAATTTTCTTAATGGATGGCAAGGTATTATTTTTACAGTTTTCCTATCTTCCTTTTAGGCAATGGTTATCCAAACCTTTGAGGCAGGCATACTCCTCTTTTCACTCTTTGTTCCAGAGCTAACAAGCATGCTATTCCACTCAGAGAAATCACCAACTATAATTGTCAGGAGGGATTGAAAGGAGGAGTGTCATTCTAGTAAGGGGTGGGAAAAGAGGACAGCTAACTCCTTTAGGCACCCTGGGAAATTCCAGCCTCCATCTGCTTTCTGTATTTGTTTTGGTGATTTCTAGGAAAGGTTGATATAGAAGGTGGACCCAAACCGAAGCCTTACAGTAATAATGTAATACCTACTCCCCCCCTCCAAAAGGCAGAGAACAACAGGAAGAGCTACAAGTGGCTGAGAAAAGCTGGGACACAAGGCTCTCATCTCCTTTCTGTTCCCTGGGCTGAGATTCTCAACATGGCAGGGAAGGAACGAAGGAAGGAAGACAAAGAAACAGTGATGTTAGTTACATGCCAGCTAAGGGCTCCACCTTGCATGGGGAATTCTCTGCTGGCAAGGCCTACCCCATTCCTTCAGGCCTCTGTCTCATCTGAGCAGCCCAGAGAGGTCAGCCAGAAAATCTGCTCAGCAAACTTACTCAGTGAATCACACGAATTACGATCAGACAACATTGTGATAGGGACGCTATGAATTAAACATGGTATAAATACAGACAGAACATGTCACAAATGTGAAGAAAGGCTTTCCCTGCCATATGGTTTCAACTACAGTAGATCAAGAGCTATAATGACAATAACCAGAATTTGCAACTAACCACAAGCAGAAGAGGCACTCATTTCTCCCGTGACTTCTAACTCCTTTAGAGTTTGAACTTTCCCTGGCAGTTAAGAATACAGTGAAAGCCTTTGTGAGGATAAAATGAACACATCAAAAATATACGTGGGTCCTCACAGAGGAAAAAAAAAGGCACATGAGATCCAGCAAGTAACCTAACAGCAATTTGAAAAAACTATCAAGTAGTCTAGAGGAAAAGGGCTAAAATAACCCTTATATGTGGCACTGAGCTGGAACTGGAAAAAGAAAAGGGATTCTTGCAACCTTTTGGACAGCACTCTATTGAAACTAAAGGTTTTAAAAACCCCAAACACCTATGCAGAAAGACATGCAAAGCCAAAAGTAAGGGTTTTTTTCCACAGAATATAAGCAACCAAACATATGCAGAAAAGCTGACATTTTGCTGGTCACCTGGAAAACAAGTCATGTGACACACATCTGATTCATCTTTATTAAGCACGACAGTAAGAATTCCTGTGCTATTCTACCAGACTCCTACAAAAGCCCTCAAGTCAATGGATCATGGCGAAACCAATTTTCAAACTGCAAACTGGAGAGAAAAGCAACACTGGTATGAAAATGGAAATACGTGAAGATGAGAAATACCTCAGTGTTTGTGGTTAGAGCCCTGCTCTTGCTTTCAATTGCCTGAACAGCAGAGGTCCCTGCCCTTCAACTCACTGCTAATTCACATCAATGGAAGAAATTCAAGTCAATGGATAAGGTAAAACTGATTATTAATTGTTTTAAGATCTGTAAGTCTAAGGAGGGCAGCAATTGTTAAAGGGACATGAAGAAGGTTCTATCTGAAGTTAAACACATCAATTTTTAATTTACACCCCTACCATAGTAAAAAGTATCACTTTTGCCAGTGCAGTTTTGCCATTTTTAGCCCAAACAAAATGAACTACTTCCGCCAAAAAAATGATGTACAATTTCACTAATCTAATAAATATAACGGTATGAAATTTCCTTCTGTGGCTTGAAAGTAAAAAAATACGGACATACTGAGATTTAAACACACAGCACACTAATTTTCCTAAAATAAATTCAACAAAGTTGGAACAAAAAAACCCCCTCCGTTAGATCTAAAGGAAACGTTTGAGGGTCTTCCCCTTGACACTACATGGAGCAGGAAATTATTTACTTGAGCATAGTAAAACAATTGCTTTAAGTTCCATTCCCTTTGATAATTTGCTTTACCACCTTGACAATAGCTTCAAGGAGACAAAACCTATGATTTCCCCAACATAAAAAACAAAATAAGCATTGCCTGCTAACACATGGCTGAAGCCTGGCACCTTACTAGCCAACACTTTATTTAGTGTTGTGTCATCACATTTGAGATTCCACTCCTTTAATTCCACTTTCAAATACAGGGCCCAATCTAACATCCACTGTGATTAACAGGAGTCTTCCCATCAAATTCAGTGGGTATTTGGCAGTACCTCCAGAGCCTTTACTACTACTACCTGAACGTTTTCAGTGCAAAGGTAAGTTTTGGAGTTATACCACTTGAATTAAACAGTGAACAAGGTTTGACCAGCTTTTGGGCTAAGAGAGGAAGAGCGAGCAGCCTGTAACAGTTACACTACAGCCAACAAGTTGTCTTCCTATGATAAAGCTCTTACTGTTCCCCCAAAAGCTGATTAAAAATCCAATTGATGAAATATATGTTATGTTTAAATTGGTTACTAAAGCAAAGAACTTCATCACAGCCTTCATTCTCTGTAGTTTGGTAAGCCCCTTAAACTTATGCAAATAATAATACATTTTCTATATTTGTGCTTTGAGTAAAGTTGACAAAAAGGAGACCTTTAAAATTGACTGTTTGCTTTAGGCAACTCAGTTTGGATGAGTACATCTGAAAACGAGGCCCCCACAGAAGAATCTCAAACTGGGTACCCCAGCTCAGAAAGATTAAAAAAAAAGTATCGAAATATTGAAAAACTGTCTTCTTTTGTTTCAGTCCATGAATGAAGTCAGAACTGATACTGATTTAATTAAACAAGTACACTATTCGATAGCCATTAAAGAGTACTGGTTTTCAAGTGTAAATATGTTCTCCCTCCACAGCTAGAAATAAGAATGTTCACATTACGTACACAACTAGGAAGGAAAGGCAATCTTAAAATCTTTTTTTAAAGACAAGAAAAAAAAACAAAGTCGAATCCTTAATGAGGTGAAGTCAATTGAAATGACATAATTTTCATACAGTCTTAGCCCATGACAGTAATTCCAAAGCCTGGAAGTCATACTAACCAGTTTGAGTTTACAAACTCAGTGGCAATGAAAGTTTTTCATGAGAAAGAATGCAGAGCATAACCAGAATGCTTTGGGAGTCTTCCTGCATTAATTTATTTTGATTGTCATTACTGAAAAATAAAATTGCTGCAAGGTTACCATTATTTTCTTTTTTAAACAGAAAGGACAAATTATATACTTCCCATAATACGTGTTTCTGAACAAACTGGATAGTATAACATTTCTAAGGCAACCAGGGAAGGACCTTGTGTACAAAAATGGAAAAGTGGTGGATGTTACCTAGCATGTTGTGGTAAAGTGGACTGTCGTGTCCATGGATAGTAAATGCAGTCATGACTAGTGGGACCTCTACACCTGCAGGCAATTACAGAACAAAAGACGTCATTTGCCATTCACAAGGACATGCACACGCATGCGCCCTTGTCCACACGTGGAGAATGGAAGACACACAGGGAACGATCACTCAGATCACTCAGCAAGTACCTATCCATCAGGCCGATGCAGTCCTCAATACGTGGCCCTATGCACCTGCAGCAAATCCAAATTGAAAAAAGGGAGAGAAAGAGAGAAATCTGTTATTTACAGATCCAAGAAGCAGGAGTCCCCTTTTTGTGCCACATTCTTAATTATAATTCTCAAGAGAGACCCAAGCCACCATAAAATTATAGCTTGTGACAAAAACAAGCTTGCAATGAGAACAATAATAGCAACATAAACAGCACTCCAAGGTTGGACATATCTTGGCTCAAACAACACCTAAGGCAGGTTTCACCTGCATACGTGGGAGTGCTGACAATAGAGTTGCTTTTTCTGGATGTTTTCTGAATCATCAAACCAGTGATTACTGCACAAAAGCTGTTCATTTGCAAGATGAGACCTCAGGGAGCACGATGTAAAACTTTTTTTCTTTCTGTAATTGATGCAATTGCTCATTCTGTTCTAAGTTCCTAGCTAGGGCAAATGTAGAAATATTTTGGAAGCTGACTATACTTTTATCAGGAAAGCTCAAGGATGAACTTCCAACAACAAAAACCAGAGCAAGATGTTGTCTGCTGATTCAGGCATTTTATCCTGCTTTCCTTAGATGCTGCCAGAAGTCTTCCACCTGCAAAATCAGCAGGTGCTCACCAAAGGCAATAGATATGCAGGGAATAGCTTTATACAGCAACACTAAAGCACAATCATGAGGAAAGAGTCTGTTTGCAAAACATGGATATGCGTGGATTTTCCTTGCCCTCATGAAGAGCAGTAGGTAGTGTCCTAGGTCCTCTTCATTCAAAGAGCAAGTCAATTACACATTTACACAGCAGTCAGGGTTCTCAGAGACAGATATCTGAAGTTAAGCTTTTAGGGGTTAAGACAATCTGACACCCTTTAGTGCTGAATGCCCAGCTAGTCCCTCTGTAGCCACATGGAGTACCTAGCTCTCAGCATTTTAAGGAAAGCAAACCACTTATTTCAACTCTTTAACAAGATCTCAGAACAATTTTATTAACAGGTTCTTTGACTGTATGTCTACTACAGGAGCAGGTGATCTGACACATCAGTAGACTGAAACTCACTTCTGTTGAAGCATTTTAAATTTAAGGTATGATCCCCAACTCTTTTTAAAGTCTCCTGCTTTCAGTTTGGCTTTGATAGAGGGATATGCATGTCAAAAATCTGAGAGAGTTCAAATATGCTCCCATGAGATCTTCTTTCCACTTCACCATCACTTGCCACTCATCAGCTTTTGCTGCATTTAAATTAGCTATCACTGTCATTATAAAATAAATTCAGTGAATTCAATTTCCCCTTACCTGCCCATCAGGGAGAGCAGAATGATAGTGAACCTTACCTCTTGTTTGTTTACTTGAATTTTTATTTTTACATAAAAACTGTGACATGCAAACACAAATTGTAAGGATTTCCTCACTAATGGTTTCCTTCAGCAAATGTGCAGACATAAAAAGGATTCGTTAAATACCCAGGTGGCCAGATAATGCATAAACAGAAAGGCTAGATTTAAATGCAGTTCAAAAACTTCATAGAGAGAACTCTTGATGGGCATTTTTTGACATTTCCTGGGCTTCAGGACTTCAGAATTCAGGACTGTCTGAATTCTAACCAGTCTCAAACATACCCAACATTTTTTTCCTTTCATGGCATTCTCAGCAATTTGCAGCAAACCAGTTCAGTAATGAAGGAGGCTGCAAAAAAGTTGTTCGAATCTTCCATTTCCTGCCATGTCAAGGGAGGCTGAGCTCAGACTCTTGCTACAAATAAAAAGACGACCCTTGTCCAAATTAGAGGTCTTGGAGCCCATTACTAGTTCAGGTAACTGGCAGACTAACATAAAGTGCCTATTGTCTTGGAGTCATTTCACATCTGTACATTTATTCTCTCAGACTTTTGGAGAATAGGACTTGAATCCAGGAAGAGAGCTGTTCAGACCGCACCCTCTCCATGTTGAAATACCATTGATTTTTATTTAAACCTGTAATCTTTTTCAGCGGATTTCTCAGCCCCAAACAGAAAACTCTGTCCAGGTGCAATTTCCATTACTCCTAGTCACGTTGAACAGCTTCTGACTTTCTGACTGGCTGTCCTGATTGCAAGCAGTAAAGTACAATACTGTGTGAATAATGGCAATACCTATTAACAAGTTATTTTGCACCACCAAGTCACCAGTTATTTTTCCTCTGGAAGCAACTTCCCTGGTTTCAGGCTTTTTTGACAGATATAAGTACAAGTATGACACAATCGTATATCACACTGCTACTCCATTCATCCACAGGGTTCCTTCTTCTGCTTGGAGTCTGGATGGTATTTTCATTTCCAAGTTCACTCTGTAAAATGAACTGTTGACTGATATGTGCCAATTTATTAATGATATGTTCAGTACCTTACAACAGCCCAATACAGCTTATACAGAAAGTTACGCTTGGAGCTCATCCTAGCTTTACAGATAATCATCCTCTGAAAGAAAATGCCGAGTTAAAACAGTTCTGAAAATTGGAATAACAACTGCTTTTCTCCCAAAATATCCTTTTTCCTTCTGTCACAAATATTGCCCTTCATCAATTTTCCTTAAGATTGAAAGGTGGGGTCTTAACTGTTCACAGATGTGGAATAGTAGTGAAGCTGTTTCTAGTCAAATTAATTCTCAAAAAATCTTTGGCACTGGAAACACAAACCTGATTATACAAAGGCATAAATGGATTAGCTCTGGACAAGAGAAAACCTTAGTTGTGATGACCTGGTCATCCAACTATTGCTATGGATAAAGCCAGACAAGTCAAAACCGGGGAGTTACTTAGCTAGCAGGAAGTGCATACTGATGGTGATAGTAGGAAAGTTGAACTGGGGCAGGAGGTAGGAGGAAATTTTGCATCAACAAAATAGTAACAGTTTCTTAATCAGAGTTTGTTGCCATTGAATTTGCACTATTGTTTCATCTGGAATTCATAATGCCTTCCTAAAATTACACCTAAGCTTTAGGGGCAAGACAGTCCTTCTGCCTTCAAATCCCTTCTGGACCACACACGTGTTGATAAGGTCTTGGCTTGGAAGGAAAGTAAAGTTTTGGTGAAGAGTAATACACTTTCTTCAAAAAGCTGTGTGAGAATATGCCGTCCTGTGATGAGGGGAGGTGTCCAGTGAGATCTCCCATTTGTGTCTTGCCCTGTGAGGAAGCAGACTGTCAAATGCTATTATGTAATTAGTATTTTATTTCCGTGAAAGTGTTCCATTTTGGCTAGCTCTGCAAGAAAAGGTGCCAAATGCTTTCTGACTCTCTTGAATTAAATGGGATAGCTGTCCCACGTGCCTCGTATCTGCTCCAAACTGGCTTCAAGTAGCTGATGTTTATCGTGGGGATGCAAGGCCAAGAGCACAGTTGTTGCATCCAAGGAAGTCACTCCTCGATAGTTCTCTCAGTCAATGTAAGATCATTAACAGGGCTGGATAATTACACACCTATTAACAGAAGCAGTCATTATAATCGAATAAGGGAGGAGAATGGTATTATTAAATGTCACGCTCTAGGGTGTAAAGCAATCATCTGCAAGTGCCACAATGAAATTGTGGCAAAACACTCACAGGAAACACAGAGGTGGGACAGATACCTTTTTTTGGTGACAGCAACAGGTGGGGATGACTAGAAACAACATATGAGGACTAACAATCCATTTTAGCAAGCACCCTGGTTCAAAGAGAGCAGCACTGCAGGAATGAGCTAATACCACACTGGGAGCACTGCTCTGCAGCAGCCCATCGCTTTTTGACGAGTATCCAAGCTGTACTGCGAAGGCATCGGTTTTATTCCAGCAATTGATCTGACAGAGAGGAGAACAGTCATGCTAGATGAAGAAGAATTACAGTTTCTCTGTACCATTCAGTTATGAGCCAAATATCAAGATGTGTTCCCTCCACAACCTAGCTCACTGAAGAATCCTGATTGAGGGGAATTTAAATATTAATTTCTAAAGGAAGGGTATGAAACTAGAGAATTCAATATTGAAGGCGAAAAGGAGAGACAGTAACTGATTTCCCTTCTCTCTGTGGGCATATTCAGCCCTTGATAACATTGGCAAGAAGGTGGACAATCCATAAACCCCAAACATCTGGGCCAGTCATTAACAGTTTCATTAACATAATCACATGCCAGAAAGTCTTTAGGAACACTAGAAAAGAATACCCATGCTTACCAAGATTTGGAGGGTGGTGGTGTGTTGTTTCTATGAAGGGTAACAAAATACCTAAGAATAGACACGTTAACTCTAAAGGATGAGGATTCCTAAGAAGAATAGTATTTGACTCATGGCAAATGGATAGCTCCTTGTCTGGGAGATAACCAAACCTTTGTGTAAGTAACCTAGGTGGGACCTTTGGCCCTTTCACAAGTGGTAGTTTGTCATTTCTCTGGGGATTGGCACACGATGCTAAATGAGACCTTCTTTCACCTAATCCGCTGCAGAAAATAAAAAGAAGGGAAAACTGAAAGTTCAAGGACTAAATGGCAACATAACTCAGCATAAAGGAACCCTGTGTCACCAAGGGTTGCCAATGAATACTGGCAAGTTCAGTTACAACTGCCTAATGCTCTTCCTATTTGTTTATGAACTAGAATGTCAGATTTTCATCACAAGGCATAAAAGCCTCCCTTCTTGATCCCATTCTATCCAGGGAGAATAAAACAACCAATCACTTGCAAAACACTGATGCATATGAAGTGGAAAGGCATGGAAAACATTCTGTTTCCTTCCTGGTCTAGGAGAAAGACAGTTGCGCCACAAATATTAGTAATATTTATTAGTAATCAGTTAAGACCTCCCCAAAAAGGAGAAGGGAACAGGAAAAAGTGTCACATCCTGGTCTTCTGAGAGGCCAGCTGAGCTGCAAGGCACTTCTTATGCAGGGCAGACAGTAAATCTATCATCCATAGCTGGGCTTGTCAGATTCGATCAGAATTGGCACTTCCACCACCTCTTAAAGCCAGGACCAGAGTTCCTGCAGTGAGCTCATCTTTTCATATTCTTTCTTCTTACACTCTTCTTCCACAGTAGCAGCATTTTTCTTATTGTGTAACTTATTTAAAGGGTCTGAGGGGAAGACAAATCTGTAACAGATCCTGGCTGTGTCTTTGCGATCTCACTTTCATTTCCCTAATGGCTCTATTGTAATTAGATTTGCAAAACCAGCAAAAGGTCTCATTTTGAATGGCAACAGCTGTTGACATCAAGATTACATTGAATAATTTACTGGTTTAATTTTAGCTGCTAAATACTAAAAGCCTCTTGTCCAAGATTATTTCACTGGCTGAAGTTTTCTCTTTTTTCCCCTGGCTGTCTCTCCATTTCTTTGTATGCTGGACACCACCAACCATTTCACTGAAAGACATTTATAACTTACATGGCCCATGCAAAACACTAGTTGTGTACTATTATTTTGTTGCAAAGATTCTTAATTCTGGCTTAGATATGTTGGCCATATATTTCCAAATGTAACAAGTGATTTTGGGCATTTAGACAGGACTTGATGCTCAGACTCAGACTCCTCTACAGAGTCTAATTTCAGACAAACCCTTTGCATCAGCTCCCATCTGAGAAAAAGAGGGCAGTAACACTTTTGTCTCACAGTAGTGCTGCCGGGTTAGCTTGTCAATACCAAGGATCAGAGATGAAAATTCTGTCAACACGTAAATACAAAAAATAAAGTAATTGTACAGGCTTACACATATGTAAAGTGTCAATGGCAGCATTTGGTACAAATCAGTGCTAGCCAGAAGAAAAGCTAAGAGCACTGCTGTGAAAAGTTTTCTCTATTGTTTTCAAAAGGGGTGTAAGCTTTTTTTCTGATAAGCTGCTGGACATTCATGACTGGAACCTGAATGTCACAAGAGACCTGGAAATCAAAGGTTACATTACTGATGCTCACACTCTGTTTTCAGGAGCGGGACAAGTGCTTTACCAAGCCAAACTGTATCTAAATCATGATGTGCTATAAACAGTAAATAGGATGGCTCACTTGACAGAATTTGCACTTACCCTTGGGTGCAGTTTGGATGACATGGATGGCACTCACGATCCTCATCAGCATATTTAAAAATGAAGCTGTTGGCCCCCTGTAAGCCATCAGGACATTTTTCCACACAGTTTGGACCATCCTTAAAATGGAAACACTTTGTGCAGTGGTCAGGTCCCTGGAGAGCACAGAAGAAAGAAATACAGTCCATTCAAGTTACTCTGTCTTTTCCTGCTGCACTAGAATCCCAGGTTCTGGCATGACAGCACACTCAGCAATAACTGTAGTAACATTTTCTTCCCAACAAACAGTGAGTTAGCTGTGTGGCTGCAGTCTCTGTTAGAGCAGCACACGTATAAATGCTGGTGCTTTTGGCCATAAACTTATTCTGTAGACCATAAGACTAAATTCCAGCTTCTAAACAGGTTTCTCAATATTATTGGTGTGATTGAGACATTTCCTGCAAGACTGTTCAATACTGAGCCATATTTGAAAAGCAACTGCAACAGCCTTTCAGTGGGATCCCCTACCTCTGCACTCCAGAGTTACTTTCCACACAGTTTTCTCCCTATGGTATCTGGTCACAACAACACGAAAGAACTACAAGGTCTACTCCTTAATACATATGTAGACTAGACAATTAAGAACTAAAAGCCAAGGCTCCTGAACAATGTAAAAGTAAAATTTTAAAGCTGTGATGATATGCCAGTGTATAATCAAATCTGGTATTCATGTTGGGCCCTGGTCTAGAATTTTATGTCCATGAGCCCTGCTACAAATCCAAACTTCCCTCATGAGTTGAATACTTGAAACATTAGCTTCTTGCTTTATGGTTGTGTTTCACAGAACACAGTATTGCAACAAAAATTATTAAGAGAATGATTGCCAGCATAATGCCTTTTTTTTTCCATTCAGTAGGTACGTCACAGAAATAAGCAAGTAAGTTAATAGTTAAATTTTCTCAGTGGTGAAGAGCCTAAAACACAACTCCTCATTGCCACATTACTTGTGACTTTCAACCCTGGCAATATACAAAAGACCAAAAGAAAAAGACAACTTCTATCTCAGGAAGACTCATTGGCCATTATAAAGGTGACAACTGCAATTAACATCCATTTAGGCTGCATAAAAAGAATTCTCTATCAAAACAACCTAAAAGGCTAACCTAAGTAAATAAACCCAAACAAAATATTTTTCAAGCTGAGAGATTAAGCCAAATTCCTACACTTTTTGGTGTGTGGGGGAAAAAAGTAACGGAAGTTGTAGTAGAAGAGAACAGAATTGAGTATAAAGAATGAAAACAGTCATATAAAGAGGGCATTCAAATCGCAACTGAATGCGATCTGGCATTTAAAAACCTTGTGCATCTGAACCGCTTTTTTTTTTCCCTACATGCAGAATATACATATTTTCTGCCTTTCTTAACACTAATTTTCAATAGCTGCTCTAAATTCTCTAAGTAGAAAATGACTGTGCTTTAGCACACTTTAACAAGCTAGGCCATAATACACAGAATTTTATTCTTACCGGACCATAGCACGTGATCATGTTTTCTTCCATTTTTTCACACTGGGGATCGCATTCCACACAGACAGAACCATTTGCAAATTCTCGAAATTCCCTAGGAAAATATTTTGCAGGCAAGTTAAAAGAAACCAAAAGCGAGACTGAAACTGAGATACAATGGCTAGCTCTTCACCTGGTAGAAATCATTTCAGCTTCACTAAGGTCAGCAGACTGTGCCAGCTGAGATCACTTCTGTTAACATTATGTTGCTTTACACCAGCTAAAAATCAGGCCCCATCAGCAACCTCATTTATAGGCAGGTGAAGCAGTAGACATCTTGTTTACCAGTATAAAACTAGGGTGTTTTTTTCTCCTTTCCTTAAGAAATAAAGACCTCGTTAACAGGACAAAGCAGCTCATTTCTCAATTTTTATCTATGGAATTGTCCCTCATGGCTCAGATTCAGGAAGCCACTTGTTACATGTGAGACATCGCTATCAGATAGGAAGGGATTAGAAAGAGAACTGATCACAGTGCTGTTCTTGTTGTTTTAGTTAACTCCTGTTTTAAAGCCCATTCTCCAAAAGGCTCATAACTTTTTCATCAACAACAATTCTAGACTGAGGTCTGAATCTATAAAATGTCAAAACAAATCCTTTTGCTCATTTATTTCATGTATGCACAAGAAACTCACCCAAGTGATTCTTTTTTTTATTATTAACCACTTAGTAAGGGGGAAAAAGTAGTGGTAGTAGGTGGGATTTCTTCTTTCAAACACCAGATGTCTCATTTCAGCTTCCAGTTGCCACTCACAAGAAAAAACTCCAGCACCTTCTCCACACAATTCATCCAACCTTCTTCTAGGCTGAGATGAATTAATACCTGAACAGGCCCCTTCTCTCCCACTAACCACAGACAGAACCTGCGTGACTAGCTCAGACTGGACACCTAAGCTTTGGATCCCATCTTGTTGTATTAACCAGTTAAAGTATTTGCATTAAACAGTTAAAGATGTGCTACACAACTCATGTTAGTGGGCTTTAGTAATATTCAGGTAAGGGTGAAGGACTCTGTGCTTAGTTTATCCATATTCTCCCCCCTGCTTCTCTACAGCCATTAGGATCTATTGCACTGATACAGCTGAGGAAAACCTTACTTGACCATGGTAAGTAAGCTCACCCTACGAGCTTTCCTGTTGAGGACTAAAAAAGAAGTCAAATATATCTGACCCTACCCTGAGGTACCACTGCTGCCCTGTGAGATGAATGCGTGGAGATCTGAAACAAACACATGAAAAACTTCTCACCAAGCCCAGGTCCCAAATTACTTCACATATTTAGGAAAGAGCTGAGCCTGTGGAAAGTGTAAATACCATTCACTAATCGATACAGATCAGAACATCCTGATTTGAGCGCTGGTCATGAGAACCTCTTTGTGATCTCACTGTGATAGGCTTCATGGCAACACCAGCCACCAAATGAGGTCCAATATATTCCGGTGCATATGAGAACACATCTGTGGTCTGCAACTCTTTTTTTTTTTTTTTTTTTGGGTGTGGGTGTGTGTTAAGCATATAAAACTGTATCCTGACAAGATTTTTTTTTTTTGCATGAATTGTCCAGATAGAAGAGTTTAAAATATTTTCACATATAAATGAAAGTTCATTCCATACTCTTTCCATAAAAATTACATGAGTTGGCATCCAAGACAGAAAAAGAAAGAAACCATACAGTGATTTTATTTTCAATTAGCAGTTTGAGTTGAAAAACATAATTAAAATAATTTATTTTTTTTATCTTGACTTTAAAAGAGGTGCCAGGGACCTTGCCATACTGCTATACAGGAACTGAAATTCTCTACCTGCTTCCCTCCACAGCCTAATGATGAATTTCTTTTGCTGCAGCTAATATAAGCAGTTCAGCTCTATTTCTGTCACAAGCCAGACTCAGCCACTTTGGCTGTTGCATATGTTTCTCCCACCCATCCTCCAAAAAAGATGATGCACATGCATGAGTGGGACAAGGAAAGGGGGGGAAAGAACTCATGTTGGTTTTATTATTTATATTTGTGTGTACACATACGTGGTGTATTATGTAAAAAAAAGAGTTTTCCTACTTTGAGTTCCTTATTTTTTATCACACGCCTAAATCTAACTAATTTGAAAGAATGCAATTGTTATGTGTTTCTGAATAGGGGTGTCAATATTCAAGTAGGGATAAATGTTGGGTTTTTTAGTCTTCACCTAAATCAAACTGTTCACATCATCACGAATGCAAAAGGTGCAAGGAACTTTTGATGTTCCATGAAAATTTTAGTCAGCAGAATACTAGATGAAGCTTATCCCCTACAAAGGAAAGGGAAGTAAGCGGAGCAAGAGGCCCCCTTGGCTCAACCATGAGCTCCTGGGTGTGCTCAAAACCAAGAGGGAAGCGTACCAGAGATGGAGAAGTGGAAGATTATCCATTGAGAACTACAAGGGCATTGCCAGAGTGTGCAGAGATGCAGTTAGAAAAGCAAAAGCCCAGTTTGAATTGAAACTGGCCAGAGATGTCAAAAATCACAAGAAAGGGTTCTAGAGGTATGTAAACTACAAGCAGAAACAGAAGGAAAACACAGGCCTACTGTTAAACAGAAGAGGTGAATCAGTCACCAACGAAGCTGGAAAGGCAAAGGTTCTCAACACTTTCTTCACCTCTGTCTTTACCAACACTGTTGGGTCCCAGGCTTTGGGAATGGAATTCCAGGTTGAACCAAACATAAACCCACCACCATCAGTGAAGGAAGAGTTAGTGTGTGAATTATTACAGGAGCTTGACCTCTACAAATCTGACACCTGACACCATCCACCCGAGGGTGTTGCGAGTGTTGGCTGATGTCATTGCGAGGCCACTCTCCATAATCTTTGAGAAGTCATGGAGATCAGGGGATGTCCCAGAGGACTGGAGGAAGGCAAATATTACCCCTATCTACAAGAAGAGCTTGAGGGAGGATCCGGGTAATTATAGGCTCATCAGTCTTACTTCAGTCCCTGGGAAAGTTATGGAACGAATCCTCCTGGGGGCCACCACAAGTCAATGAAGCACGTGACTGGGAAAAGCCAACATGGCTTCACTAAGGGCAGATCGTGCTTGACAAACCTGGTGGCCTTCTACAACAAAGTGACCTGCTTGGTTGACATGGGGTGAGCGGTGGACATTGTCTACCTGGACTTCTCCAGGGCTTTTGATACGGTTCCCCACAGCCTCCTCCTGGAGAAATTGATGTGTTATGGCCTAGACAAGTGGTCTGTGCGGTGGGTGGGGAATTGGCTGGCAGGCCACACCCAAAGGGTGGTGGTAAATAGCTGTTTTTCAAACTGGCAGCCTGTCGCAAGTGGGGTTCCCCAGGGATTGATATTGGGCCCAACATTATTCAGTATCTTCACAAGTGATCTGGGTAATGAGATCAAGTGTAGCCTGATGAAGTTTGCAGATGACACCAAATTGAGTGGGGAAGTAGACACTCCGGAAGGGAGAGCCACCCTGCAGAAAGATCTGGATAGGCTAGAAGAGTGGGCTAACAAGAACCTTACGAACTTCAATATGGACAAGTGTAAGGTCTTGGGACCTGCGAAAACATAATCCAGGAGTGAAGCACAGACTGGGATCCAGCTGGCTGGAGAGCAGTGCTGAGTAAAGGGACCTGGGGATCGTGGTGGATAGGAAGCTCAATATGAGTGAACAGTGTGTTGCTGTGGCCAAGACGGCCAATAGGATGCTGGGTTACATCAAAAAGGGCATCACTAGCAGAGATAAAGAAGTTATTATCCCACTCTACTCAGTGCTTGTCAGGCCACACTGGAACACTGTGTATAGTCCTGGTCCCTGCTATACAAAAAAGATGTGGACAGGCTGGAGGGGATCCAGAGAAGGGACACCAAGATGATCAAAGGACTGGGAAGCCTCCCAAAAGGTGATAAGCTGGGTTTGTTCAGTCTTGAGAAAAGGAGGCTTAGAGGAGATCTCATCACCATGTACCAGTACCTAAGAGGTAGCTACAAAGAAGACGGAGACTCTCTTTTTACAAGGAGTCACATGAAGAGGACAAGGGGGAATGGACACAAGTTGCTCTTGGGGAGATTCCAACTGGACATGAGTGGGAAATTTTTCACAATGACAACAGTCAACCATTAGAATAATCTCCCCGGGTAAGTGGTTGACTCTGCCACACTGGACACTTTTAAGACTCAGCTGGACAGGGTGCTGGGCCATCTTGTCTAGACAGCGCTCTTACCTAGAAAGGTTGGGCTACATGATCCCTGAGGTCCCTTCAAACCTATGATTCTGTGATTCTTTTTACACAAGTTATATTTGGAAATACTTAAAATTTACCCCACAACGTGTTTCACTCAAAATCACTAATATTGGCAAGGAAACCAGATATTGATTAATGTAAAACCAAATTAACTTATTAAAGTGCTGAACAATGTAGTCAGCAACTTTAGGGAGGAGTGCAAGGGAAATATCTTACCCATCATACAGGTTACAAGAGTCTATGCAGGTCCTTCCCCTGATGAAGCGCTTGCAGGAGAGACACTGGTCTGGCCCTGGACCCCAACAGCCATCACTTGAGCATAACTCATGACACACCATTCCATCAGCAGCTGCAGAGAGAGAGGATACTATCATTAATTTACACATTCCTCTGAAATCCAAAAGAAAACATTTCATTCAGCATTCTGCCATACTCACAAAAGTAAACAGAATGTTCAGATTTTCTAGAAAGATAATAGGAGAAAACCAGAAAATTATCATCATACCACTACAGAAACACACTGTGCACTCACAGTTTGAATACTATACACACTTCTGGTCTGTTCCTTTCAGAAAGGATATAGTAGAGTGAGAAAAAGGCTTAGAAGTGCTACAAGGATCATGGAAACTAGAGAAGAGCTTCTATACCAGGAATAAACAGATGAGTAGCCTTAGATACAGGTGAGAAAGAACATGATAAAGGTCTATAAAATCACGAATGACAAGAAGAAGATAAGTACACGTGAAACGATTGTTCATTGCTTCTTCCAAGTCCCTCATGGACATTCAAAGAGACAGGAGCCCAGTAGGGTTCAAAACTGAGACTTTTTCTTCATAGAAAGTATAGATCAAGCTGCAGAATTCCCTGACACAGGACATACACGGTAAATGCCCAAAATCTAAAGGATTTGAAAAAACAATTGTCCAAATACATATAAAGGCTATTAAACTAAAATACAAACTACGACTTATCGTGGTTTTACTCCAGCCGACAACTAAGCACCACACAGCTGCTCGCTCACTCTGCCACACACCCCCTGCCCCAGTGGGATGGTGGAGAGAATTGGGAGGAGGGGGAAAAAAAAAAAAGTAAAATCCATGGGTGAGAGAAAGACAGTTTAATAGAACAGCAGAGGAAGAGAAAATATAATAATAACAACAACAACAAAATAAGTGATGCACAATGCAATTGTTCCCCCACCCGCTGACTGATGCCCAGCACATCCCCGAGCAGTGATTGCGGTCCCCTGGCCAAGTCCTCCCAGTTTGTATACTGAACATGGTGTCACATGGTATGGAATATCCCTTTGGCCAGTTGGGGTGAGTTGTCTCAGCTGTGCCCCCTCCCAACTTGTTGTGCATCTCCAGCCTTCTCAGTCAGAGCATGGGAAGCTGAAAAGTCCTTCACTAGTGTAAGCACTACTTAGCAACAACTCAAACATCAGTGTGTTATCAACATTATTCTCATACTATATCCAAATCACAGCACTACGCCAGCTACTAGGAAGAATAACTCTATCCCAGCTGAAACCAGGATACTACCTCTGAACTGAGGACTCCCTGAAATAAAACTTACTGATGATGGGGGAAAAGTTGAAGAAAAGTCATTACTAACTGTGGTTTTTTAAATCGTGTATCGCAAAAGCACACGAAGAGCCAAAGAGCCTTTATATTAAAACCCCAAAACCACATTCAATAAACAATTGTCCCCGTCTCAAAACGAAAATTCATCTTAAATAAACAAAATGAACAAAGGGTGAGGGGGAAAGGTTGTTTCAAACAATATAATTAATTCTGTATTTTTATTTTACATAAATTCTTCTCTGCATAAATATCTAGATGACTGTGACAGATGGAGAAAGTAAGCAAAGAGCAAAAAGAAAAATGTTATCATTCCAGCATCTGAATAAAGTCTAGTTGCACAGATTCAGCCAGACCCTGGCATGTGAAATGGTAGATCTCTTAATCTGAATTCACTCTTGCATGATGAAACTTTTTATGCAAATGGTTATATACTAGATTGAGTAGATTAAAAATAGCAAAGAACTGAAATATCAGAGATGGTAAATACATAAACACTTGGTTTGGTGTTTTTTTAAGCCACTGGAAACAACTTGACGGAAGTGCCAAATAATAAATTATAAGTAGGTTTGCTGGTAGAATTCTACCACCCCTTCCAACGATGTAGCAATGAAGATGTCTGGTCCAGAACAAAACACACATACTCTGAATACAATTCTGAAACAGCAAGTGCATATGCCCAGCACACATTTAAAGAGAGGTAATAGCAAAAATCAACATAAAATCTTTTTGCAAAATGCAAGAAGCCCTCTGGCAGGTTTATATGAAATAAAAAGACAGCAGTTCTTTGCACACTATTTTTATTAACTTTTTTCAGTAGAGCAGCACAGCTGGGTGACTGGAAAAAAGGCCCTATTTTCATCCCAGGTTACCTAATGGTCTTGTCTCCACTGTCAAGGCTGGAACAGTGTAGTTAGGTACTGTCCATTACAATCTACCTTAACAATTAAAGAGTATACTGAGTTTTATTATCTGAGAAGCACAAAGACCTTTTAAATAATGAAAGAGTCAGCAGAAAGATGCTTTCTGCTCTCTACAGCATGTTTTAACACTGGTTATTCTGTGCTGTGGCGTATATAACATCCCACATTTGAACCTCTGCATATCTGTCATAGCACTCTACTGTACAGGAGAGCACACTGCTTCACACAGCGACTCTCTCCTTAACTGCTCTTTAATCACTGTTTTTCATCATGCAGCATTGTTTGATGTTGTCACCATGTTTGTCGAACACATCTTTCTGATCTATACAGCATGCCTAGCCTACGTCCTCTTCTGTTTCCTACAAGGCAATTCCTGCACCTCCTTTTGCCTGCTGACATGCAGGAAGTTCATGTCACACTGGCAGGGTGCTTTCCTTTGATATACACTACCTGTCCCGTCTCTCCTCCCACTGTTGCCCTGCTTTTTGGCCACTGAATTTAACAGAAAGCACCTCTTTCAGAAAAAAAAATGCAATGATTGTATGCATGGTTTCTCTCGCTGAGCCTTTGTAGTGAGCAAGCAGGAGTGAAGCTTCTTCCATACTTCCTTTCTTCTTGCAACAGGACATTTTGCTTTATTGAGATTGAGAATGGCAGGTTTTCATCTACCTGTTTCTTTTTCTGCCTAGAACATTTTCATAATTCAGTGCCAAAAAAGGACATTTCACCTTTACAAGCAGCACAGGAACCAAAGATTCCATGCCTTTGCAGGCAAACTGATCCAAGAACAAGAGATTCACCAGCATGCTGCCTACTTGTACAGCGCTGTTGCTGACCCTGCATGGCTCTGCTGTACAATACCTGCAATTCTGTAGGTAGATGAGCACAAATAACCTCAGACATGAAAAGTCTGCACATTCATGTCTTATCAAGGCTGGAATGCTTGAATACATATTTTTTTTTATCATATGTACTTTCTTAGTAACAACATCTACAAATTGTTCAGAAGTATATTTTTGGTTTTTCTTTTGCCTCAAAGCTCAAATCAGGTACAGCCAAACATAAAATAATTAAACTTCGGAGTATTTTCAGGTGTTCACCTAACTTCCCTTAAAGTGTATTAATTCTCAGAGATTCCAGCACAACAAGAGAGCTATTCAGCATGGCATTACATAGAGATGTCTCTATCTGTGGTGTCTGCCACACCACACAAAGCCAGTATGAGCAGAGACGAAAAAATTCAGCTTTTCATTATTGTCCTAACCCTAACTTTTTTTAAGTGTGGTGACATTTTTGTAACAAGTACCAGATGTCAGTAGTTCCACTATGCTGCCTCTGACTAAACTTCCTAGAAATCAAAGGAATTAGGCGAAAGCTTTGTATTAGCAAATGCTACATGTGTAGCCCATAGAGTTTCCTTTTTCACCTACTTTTAGACATTTGATGTATATCTCAGTCTAATTCTGGCTTTGTGCAGTACAGTTCAGGAGCCACGCTGACTTGGTATTAAAGGCCAGTTTTGGCCTATTTCATGTTCATTGCCTGCAGAGGCACCCAGGAAAAAAGTTCCAGGTGATACAGCTGGTCATTTCAGGGGAACCCCAATTACACCTTAGAGTTTACAGCACACTTGAGGGCTCCCTAAGAGCAGAGTCCAGCACTTCCATGCCTGGTCTGCCAATCTCCCTTGATCTCACCCAGTCTCATGGTGACGTGTGACTGACACTGACCAGACAAATACACAAGTCCTGCCTCACGTTGTCTGCCACAGGCACACCTGGGATCAACAGACAGCTTCAGGCTCAAACTGTATCAGCAAATAAAAAAAAAGGAAAAAAAAAAAACAACTAACCAACCAGAAACTATCACAGTTCTAATTGAGCAAACATTTATTCCTATTTACAGGGATAGTTTTATTTTCTAGTCAATTTGTCATGCAATAAAAAAACCCAACACCCTGCTTTGGAGACCCCTTTGTTCTCATTTTCAATCTTAAGACTATTAGTAATTATTCTGATTTTGTTTTACACACTCGTGTCATTGAAAGGCATTTTCCTATTTGCTTTCTCATCTTTTTTTGTAACTTTAAATTGTGTTTTATTCCTAGTGATTTCCTTTCTTTTTGCTGTTCTCAGCTGTCAGAGTACTCTGGGATCAGAATTTACTTACACACGCATGCACGCAGTATTGCACTAAAATATCCCTTCAAATAGCAAGTGAGACCATTACAAAATAGCTCAAAAAATATACTGAGTAACCTTATGCAAATAAAATGAGAGCTTTTCAGTAAAGAAAATCATGATTATCCTTTTGAAATCTAGCCAACACAGTGCTTGCGGTCTATGAAAAAAGCAATAGAAAAAAAGTATCACTATTTCCTTCTGCTTTTTTCTAAGTCATAGAAATGTTTTCATAAATGAATCTTGGCAAAAAGGAAGTGGGTTTTTTGACAACTTATAAAAACCCATTATGCTTGTCTGTCTTCCTCTTCTTTAATTATAGGGATGGCTAAAGAAATGTTTCAATTTTAGACACATTATTTGGCATTTCCATGGGCTGAGAACGTTCTGAAGCTCCAGCATATCACACAGCCATATGTGGAAGGAAAGAACAATAATGCTTTTGACAGGAACTCATTTTCATCGGGAGTTTTAGAACAAGTGTTCATTCTTTATTAATGGGGTCACACAGGTTAGAAGCAGGAAGGTTCAATGTTTTTCCCCAACCTAGATAGAACACAAGAGAATTAGCTATCTAAAAAAGGGAAAATTATTGTTATTTGGCTATACATTTGTGGGCCTGATCCAAAGCTCCGTGAACTCAATAGAAAAGCTCCTGCAGACTTC